AAAAAAATGCTATGTTTATGCATTAAAGTGGCCAGAATAAATTTCAATATGATTTGGGTGTTTCTTACAACTACTGGGAAACTGCATCACTTAGCTTAAATATTTTTTTAAATCCTTATGCTTTGAGAGAAATGTGACTTGATTTATGCCCCAGAGAGAACAACTGAGCTAAAAGATACAGTATTATCCATTCTAACCAAGGATTTGGTTTTGCCATCCATGTGTTGCTTATTTTGAGCAAAGTGATTAGCCCATCATTCTGGGTCCTAGATCTTGTTCCTCCTAAGAAGGGAAACAGATACAATGATTTCAAGTATTTCTTGAATGCAAACCTTTTTGTTGTTCTTCTTTCAAAAAAAATGGACGCAACCTACAAAAGAAGTATCTAATAATGGCTCTTTTGCACAAAGTTTCATTTTTTTTAAATCTCCACACAGAATCAAACCTTACTTCTAACTCATTGCTTTAGTTGTTGACTGCCCTTTCATGTGTTTCCAGTAACACCTATTGCTGCAGGTGCCTTACTCCAAAGATGTGGTAATACCCATTTGGATTTAGTCTGAATAACTGCTTCCCCTCACCACCAGTTTCAGAGATGTTTTTCCCCAGCCCTCAGAACAACGTCTGTGATGAAGACTAGTTTGTCCCTGATATAATCACACAGGTTTCAGTAGGTTCTTTTGCTGAATAAAGGTTTATGCTCTGAAAGAAACGGATCTGACTCTGAACAAGAGACAGCTGACTGTAACCACCACCGTTTATTCAATAGTTCTGTTTTCTGTCTCCTTCTAGATTAGGGTTTTAAAAAATCGCTATTGCAAAGAAGGGCTGCTGAACAGGTATCACCAACTTGACCAGCAGATAAAGATGGTGATTAAGGAACTCCTAATTCCCCTTTGTTCAGATTCTGACAACAGGCTCACGAATATGCTAGCTACTTAGCTACACCCATCAAGTTCAGTCCTACATTTTCGCTTTGAAGGTCTAATCTACCAGCCACTGAAGTCAATGGAAATCCATTATAATTCAGTATGTTTTTGTTTAAGTCTTAAGTGATATTAATGTCTGTCCCATAACCTGTTTCTAGAGTGGTAAAATTTATACTCAATTGTCAGAATAAATCCTGGTTGTACATCTTAGTGTAACCTTCTGTACTGTATCATGTCATATTCTTAAAGAAGTGGTTATGAATTACATCAAAACAGTGGAATGAGGATTATGCAAAAATATCTGTTACCTCAGTTACTAAACTGACGTAGGCAAACACTGGTTCTGGCTATCATAAGCAGAATATTATGATTCTGTAAAATGGACATCCTTCAATCATTTTAACTTGCAAACAATGTATGGTTAAAATCACTTAAGATAAATTACCTTTGGTTCTGGACCAAAGAGGAATAGAGATAGATTTAAATCATTATTAATAGAGTCAGTCAAGAAACTCCCAAGTCATCAATATAAACTAGGACTACAGTTGCACACAAACAACTGCAAATAAAGGCAGTTTCAAGGTCCAAGTTTGCTTCTTCTGGATGTTTCAGACCATTGAAGTGATGAAGTGAGCTGCCCCACAGCCTCTTCATTATCCTGGATGTCATTTAGTTGACGTGGACTATCTGCTTTACTTTCCTCGGTCATTCTGCACTTTGCCATTCATTTGAGTTAGAACAGTAATAAGATGCCAACCGAGTAAATCATTTAGAATCAAATGCATGTTATTCTTTATTCAGCTGCTGCTCGCCTGGTCATGCATTCAGATGGCCAGATCTAAAGTGACAGAACTTTGTATTCCTTTTCACAGCACTGAGTTAGCCAAGTATAGCTAACACAGGGAAGGGAATATTCACGTTTTTACCAAGGGAGCAAGGGAAGCAAAAACACTTCCTGACCTTTAAAATGGTTACATGCCTCCACAAGCTGCTATCAAATGAAGCGGATGGCATCATTTTAATATGTCACACAGAAAATTCTCAGTAGTCTTAATGAGCTATTTTCAAATCTTTGTCTGAAATACATCTTAAGGACAACGTATGAGGGATTTAAGGCATCAGACTTCACTTTTGATGAAATATGTTTGAACTTATTGAGATAATGAAGCTACTGAGGCTTCCTCATGGCTAGTATTTGTTCCCATTTGCTCCTCATGTGTTTACTGCAGTTTACTGCTACCTTTCTAACAGGCTTAGATATCAAATTTTCTTTTAAGAAATATTTTGTCTGCAAATTTTTTAAAGACTAGGCAGAAAACTCTGAAGCATTATATACTGAGAATAAGTGTGAAGAATCTGAAAAATCTGTCCACCCCTCCAGTATCTGATGTTCATTAATGTGAATGAAAATATCTTACCCCATTACTTTATTACAGTTACTATTAAAATATTTCCAGTTCTTCCTGCCTCTAAATAAAATATGCTGGATACAAAATCCAGTATGGAATAAATACATATCGTGAGATTAAGGAATACGAATGAACTCCAACTGCAACAACTTTGCAGTCCAGACACGGCGATGCTAATCCCTATCACAAGTTAGAAAAGTCCTGAAATTTCTTAGAAAGAGTTCAGTTGTTGCAGGGGTGTTGATACAAGAGCTGTGGCCATAAAGAGATTCATGAGAACACTAGCTATACCCACAGCACGCTGCACTGAGTTTTGAAGCCCTATACATACATCCATAGTTTTAGGTAAGTAGTGGACTTACTCAGGCCTAAGGACCAGCTACAAAATGGTGTAGGCACCTAATACAGAACTTACAGACAAAATTTAGCCACCTACAAAACCACAAGTAATGATCTTCCAACTCTATGTTCAGCTGTCTCCTAACACTGGAGGCACTCATCCTCATTAACACAGGACTAAGGTCATTTGGACTAAGTGGTGGCCTGAGCCTTATTATGGCCTGGAAACCAGGCAAGTCCCTCGTGTGAGTCTCTGCGAAGCTCAAGCTAGTAGGTGTTCTTACAGCACATCCAATACTCGCTTTAAAGGATTAAGTTCCCCACAAAGTCCAACCACCACCTGTAGCTCAGCAGATAGCATCAATTACCAATTAGACACCCATTGTATGAAGGCTTAAATATTTATTACAGCAGTTTCAAACTTGGGTGTCTTGCTGGCAAATGTGTGTGTCAGCCATGAGGCTACTGTCCATCTGTGTGTTCTCTGATGCAGAGAACATTAACTTAGCCCAGAGAACAGCTTAAGGACATGGAATTGGTCAGGAACAACTCTGCGTGCCTAGGGCTTTGGTGACTGGAGCACAGCCCTGAAGGTGATGTGGCTTTCAGTCCCTCAAGTGGGAAAGGATTTGAATTTAAGGCTCAGGCACCCTAGGTGGAGATTTAAATTGTGATGGGGCATAGTGGGGGGAAAGATGTTGGAGCGAGGCTGGTCTGACCAGATGCGGCTCCGCTCCTGGGCTTTACAGGCAAGGTAGGCAGAGGAGTACCTGGCCTGTGAACCCCCACGACCCTCGAGACCAGCACCAGTCAGCCTGGCTCCGTTTGTCCTTCCAGGGCATTAACATAGGAGCGGATCAATTCTAGCTGCTCCCACGTTAACAAGTTGAGAGCCGATGACAGGCTGCCTAGAGGCACCTGGGTCCTGCCTCAGCAGAGGCAGACTTACAGCTGGACGAAGCCGGGCTCCATCTGTCCCGTCGCCCTGCGCCCGCTTTCGCACACGAAGCCGGCTCGTCCCTCGTGCTTTCAAACACGCAGCAGCCTTGGTCACCTACTGCTCCTCTGGGACCGCTTGCTCCAGGCTTGTGCATCAAGGCTTTGGGTAAAATGTCAGCGTTTGGGGGGG